AGGCTCAGAGACCTCCCTTAGGCCCAAGTCAGCAAGAAGCAGCAGTGGCGTCTGAGTGTGGGACTCCAGATGCCTTCCCCAGCCCTCGCTCTGCACTGCTCTGTTGGCCGGGTGACTCACACGCTGCCATTGCTCTCCGTGACTGCTCCGGGCCAACCGTCCAACTTCTCTGCACTTCCATTCCTCCATCTATAGCACGAAGATAGCATGCACAGATGCAGAAACTGACCGCTGAAAAATGCCGTTTATATTAATGTAGTAATAATGGATATAGAAGCTCTCTGAGAAAGTAAAATAGTACCTTGCACACAGTAGTGAGTTTGTTTTTGTCCCTACGAAGGTTGTCAAAGCAGGCAATTAGAGCCTGGATTTCGGCAGGTCTCTACATTCCTCTGTCCCTTCTTCTTACCTCCACACTAAATTAGAAGGATGTTCTATGGAGATGCATGTCTTTAACAGTTCCTGGTTCTGTCCACTACACCGAGCCTCAGCCACCTTCAACCCTAACAGAAGACGAACCCCTTGCCTAAAAGCTCAGGGACACTGAGTGACCTGTCTTTGCCCTTCGAGAGATGCGGAAACTGGTGCCAGTAAAGATGTTCGATGACAGTGGATGCGAAATGTCTGTGAGGACAAGCAGCATTTATTGAGTGGGAAGGCTCGGGAAAGCACCAGTGTGGCCGGGGCTTGCAGAAGGCAGGCCTGCCTCGGGCACGCAGCGGGCGCATGGGTGTCTACAGGAAAAGGGGTGTTCTTCATCCAGAACTGGGATTTGTCTGCTGTGCGGTCCAAGTAGTCCCAACCACACAGACGTGCAAACACACATACATGTACAGGTACACAGGGACAGACACGCAGAAACATGCACAGTTCCAGGCACACGTTGAAATTATACCCTTAAGCGGAATTCCTCTATTTTTTTAATATTTAACAAATATGTCAGAAGGAAAGGAAAATCAATAGATAATACAAGGTAATCTTGAACTCCTTAACAAGAGGAAGGAAAAATGTGTAAAATGTCGACCTCAAGCTCAAGGCCAGTGATGAGGGTTTCCCCTCCGGTCTCATAAATCCCAGGTAACAAGACAGACATTACTAGTCATAACGCATTTCTTGCTCACGTGGTGTCATTTCCATAAACACGGTATATAAAGAGCACAATGATGAGTGCTAACTCAGGTCTCTGGGGGAAAGACAACTGTTAATAAAGGAGCTTTAGTTGTCAGTGTGAGATTTTAAAACTTGTCTCAAAAGGATGTTACAAACCTGCTATAAAGAAATAAAGACACGTATATGTGTGTACATATATAAATATGTATATGAATAATTATTTTTCCTTCAATATCTGTCCAGCAAGAATCTAGACTGCTGTGTAAGGAGGGACATGACCCTTAAGTTCACAGAGGCGTTAACTGTTCTTGTTCTCTTATGTATGTCCCCAAATGGTGTCAGTAACATGCTTTCTATCAGGCCATACCTGGTACTGCTGGCATGCAGTTAGGGCTTGTCAGATGATTTTAGTCCAGGTCACCAAAGCCACCTTCTGCCTAGTGATTGTCTTTGCAATTGAGAGATGGGGCATCAGTGCCCCATGCCCATGAACGAGAGGGGCACCCCTCTGTTCTGTGCAGAAGTAAAGCATATCTTGTAAGTCTTTGATCTCTGAGTATTTTTAACCCCTTGCCACCTCAGACAACTCCTGAGATTCCAATCTCACTATGGACCAATAGAGTATTTAACTTTCCACAGCTCCTAGTTCTTGCTAAACCAGAAATACTAAGAGTGTGGAGACTACCCGGTTACACTCCCTCTGCCCTCTCCTCCAGAAGGCTGTCTTCCGAGCCCCCACAAACAGCTGCAGAATCACAAGCATCATGCAAAGAACAGATTTCTTAAGGAACCTTTTCCTGTGGGAAGAAACATCCCTCTTCCCCCACCCAAAACAAAAGCAAAAGCAAAAACAATTCTGCCTGCCTGCTTAACCTTTATACCTATCTACCTAATCTGTTCTTTTATCTCAAGTTCTGTGGCCAGGACAGACAGACACCTGACTATTACTTGGCTTGGGTTGAGTTCCCATATTCCCAAAGGGTCCCTTAAAATCAATCACAGTAGGGGTTGTATACAAACTTGCACGTCCAGGAGGTTTGGCAACAGATCCAAATGTCCTCAGGTAATTTCCCCTGCCCAAGCCCGTCCCCCAAATCTTCCAGCACACACACACATAAACAAACTGCACAGAGCATGGGAACACCTATGCCTCAATAAGAGTTCCAAACGGTTGGGGTTACACATACTCACTCACTCATTCATTCATTCATTTATTCATCAATCCAACAGAAATTTACTCCAGGCACTGTGCTGGGTGCTATGAAGTTCAAAGATAAAAATGATACTTCTCTGCCCTCGACTTAAACTCTGATAGTGATTTGGGATTAGATCACTTCTGGATTCTACATGATAATGTTTTCAGGGATTCATTCAAGGGGGTGAAGGGAGGGGATGGGAACAGAGACTCCTGATTTAAAGGAGGACAGAAAAGACTGAAGGATTGGAGAATGATGATCATTAGAGAAAGCTAGAGGAAGCACTGTTATTTAGCACAGAAGAAAAAGGCTGAAGTGATGACTTAATAAGAGTGTTTAAGTATATAGAGGATGGACTCCATTATGGTTCTATCATCCATGAATTTATCTAAAACTCTTTTCACACCAAATTACTTTTTTTAGTTTGTGCTTGTTCTTGGAGTACTAAGTTCCTTATGTGGACTACCTGCTGTGCAGAATAACACATCCTTTTGCATGTTCTGACATTTCCTCCTCTAAGCTAATAGGAACTTGCAGTAATTCTGAGTTTCCAGGATGTAGTGAGAATGTCCCCGTGCTGTGGCCCCCGTGCCCTGCATGGTTGGGGAGCTGCTTTACATTCTCCCTCAAGTGTCTGTTTTCTGAAGAGTCTTTGTTTTTCCTGATAGAGAAGATGGTCAAAGTTTGTTATCAAATTGACTCTACATTTTCCTGAGACTTCTCTACCTCTGATAGGTCTTTTTAGGGATGTGCAGAACGCAACAAATCCGTCAATCAATACATGGTATTTCAGTGACTCTAAAACACCCCCCACACACTCTTTATCATCTCTAAAATCAAGGCATGTCTTATAATCAATGTTAAGAAAGCAATTAATTGGTGACATGTTTTTCCCTTGGTGATAAGGAAAGGTAATGGTGTGCCCTCACCTTCACGTTCGATGTCGCGAAATGCAGTGCTGGCGTCTCCGGGGTTTCCTTGCGCAGCAGCTCGAGCTGCGGCGCGGCCGCCATGTCTCTGAGACGCCCTTGGGTGCTCCAGGGTTTGGCTAATTTGTGCGTTTGTTCATTTAGGCGCCTTTTAAATTTTTATTATTTTATTTCATTTAGGTGTTTATTTAGGTGCTTTTTTGTCTTTTCTGTCTGAGACACCAGGGCAGCTCCTCTGCCATTTGTAGCTCTTGGTGTGACACAGCACGCCCGCTTGCACTGGAACAGCGCCAGCCGGTGACACTGGCCAGGAGGCGCCTGTGACCGGCTTCCGTCCATAGCCCGCTTTCCCAGCAAACCCTGCCGGGTCCGTTTCCTTCATTGGATCTGTCTAGAAGTTTAGTCAAAGAATAACCACCCCTCATCATCCAGCCGGGTTTGGGGATAAAAGCAAGACAATGTGAGGAGGGCACTCTGAGCTCCTTGGGAAAAGAAATTGTAGAAAACAGCATGATATCATCATTATTGTCATGTTGACCATGTCCTTTGAAATCTAAGCCATTCTGGAGAATGGATTTTCAGCTAAAGTACCGCTCTGTAATCGGAGCTTAATTGGACGCAGAGTCTGTTCAGCAAGATTCTCGGCATGATCCCCTTTCCGTGGCAGATTGTATTTCACTTTGCATAATGAGGCAATCTTTCTATTTACTGATTATTTCCTTATGTAACTTGAGCACTGAAAGGAAGTCACCACCAAGACCTCAAACTACTGACTAATGAACATATTCCCAACTCCTGATGTGCAGAGCACGTAAGACGCCCCTCTAGCTTGCAGGAAGGAGTTTGCACGATATATGTCAGAGGTCATACTTTGCCAGAAGGCAAAGTCTACACTCCTGCCATTTTATTTAGAAAGCTAGAGGGAAAAGAACAAAGTAATGTCTCTATGGCTGGCATATTGAGGGTATGTGATATAGGATGTGAAATTCCCAGAGTTGCCCAAATAATAGCACAACTAACATCAGCATAGCACTTCATAATTTCATATTTATTTGTTTCTCATCAGCCTCATGATAGAAATAAGTAGAACAGGTATTATCCCACTTTGTATATGAGAAAAGCAATAATTAGAGCAGCTGACTTGCCCAAAATCACACAGTTAATAATTGGCAGAGCCAAGAATTGAATCCTGGAGTTTTGATCTACAATCCTAGGTATCTTGCTGCCTTCCCACGACAGCCGCCTGCATCCCAGGCCTTACACCAAGCCTTGAGACAGCAGGACTAGCATCCATCAGTACTCTGTCCTTGATGATTCAGGCAGGGCAGCCAACAACCTTGCAACACTTTCCTTCGCTCATTTCCTCAACCAATCACTTTGTTTTCGGACCATAAGTCTGGTGGACTTCAGCACTCTGGTGGGGAACTTGAGTTTCCAGAAATAATGCTTCCTGCTATTATCCCTATAACATCTCCCTTTTGGTCTTCTGCATAGAATTTTTCCCAGCATATACCTTTTGTTTATTTATATATCTGTTTACTGTCATCTGCCCTGTAGAGTGCGCGGTGCCTGTGGGAACATGCTGTCACATACCCACAGCTTAGTGCAGCGCCTGGCACATAGTAGGCATCCGACAAATATTTGTTCAGTGAATGTTTGAATAAAAGGTGGTGAAATGACTAAATTTCTAAATCAAAACCCATGTTAACAGTATGGACTTTTGTAAGTGAGCCATTCTACTATGGATTTTATTTCCTTAAACACATCTGTGTTCAAGGTAGTCATGGCGTTTTGTAGTGTCAACCCAGAGTCTTGAATTGCACTGCCAGGAACAGCAGATCATCTGCATTTAATGATACATTTACTGTATTATAAAGCATGGTTATCTCATTACAACTGGAGGCAAATTAAAAGGAATGCCAAATAGCACACTAGGGAGCACTGTAGTGATATAGTCTAGACTTGAGAATAGCAGTGGTCGTATTTATGGTCTTTTTTCTGGGCTCAAGTACTGTCATAATTTTTGATATTAACTCAATGAACCCTTTAATTTTCCCAAACTTATATAAGCAAAACTTGGTAACCTGGTAAGAAAAAAACAATCCTATATTCAATATAGCATGTATCTTATACATTCAGCAAAGCTGAATCTCTCCTTTGCCCATAAACCATCTCTTATAAAGCTCAGCAAAGCTTCAGGAAAAATCTCCAGCTTCTCTCAATAGCATCAAGTTCCTTTGTACAGACATTGAGCAATGTTGGTCAATGTGCTTGTTAAATTGACCCAGTGTTTATGTTTTAGTTAGAACTGATGACACTGACATAAGTCAGTATTACTTACACTGTCCTTGGTCTGCTCCTCAGGATAGGAACTGCATGCATTTGCTTCTAGCAGGGTGGATGGACATCAGTAGTAAATAATAAATTATAAATATAGGTCATCTGCTGATTGGCAGCAGCCACTAGCAACTATAAACTTGCTTCCAGTACATCTGAACCCATAACATCTCCTCTACTCATCCTTCCAAACAACTTCCCTTTCCAAATATGTTACTTTGTTTGTTTTGAAAGAATCTCACTCATCTCCCAATAGAGAAACCCAAAATCTGATTTCATCCGCTGCTGGGAATATGATCCTTAATGTTGAGACACATTAGGATATATAGACAGGTTTTGGCTAAAAAAAATAAAATTTCTTTGGACCCTCAAATTATATGACTACATTTTAATTTATGAATCAACAAAAATGAAATATGTTTTTTTTTGAATCTTAGTACATTTGAGGGACAGAAGTTCGAGGTCATCCATCTGACTTAATAATCCACTATCTCCCCATTACAGATGAGAAGAGAGAGACCCAGAGAAGTGAAATGGCTTGTCCAGGGTGGTGTGGTTACTTAGACACAGAAATGGCATCTTTTTAATGTCCAAATCAATATGACCTATGGATGCTAAAAAGAAGGATAAGGCCAGGTTTGTAGATTTATTCACTGGGAGTAATGTTTCTACAGTTTCTTTGTGAGTAGCCATTGTCAGTTTTTGTGGGGCTTGGTTCACTTACCTCCAACCCTGAAGTTTCCTGGAATTAAGATGACTCCTTGGTAGCCCTTGGTCTTTGTTGTCATCCTGGAATGTGGTTACCTTGGTGCATTCTTTGGGGACGGGGGGAGCAGTGGTGGCCCAGGAGAGTGAGGAGGAAGAAGGAAAATGAAAACAGTGCAAGGCCTCAGTGGACCAGGGAGAACTGACTCTTAGTGGCAGAGGATGCCTCTTCTTTGTCCCAGCTGTTCAAGACACGAAGAGGAATCCCCTTTTTATAACTTCTACTTTGCCTGATCCAGGAATAGGAATGGCTTAAAGGGAAAAGCTTGCCCGTTACATTCTAGGATAGCCTCCTTCTAGGTCAGGTTAATTGCAGAGGTTTAACCTGCTGGGCAGTGCTCTTGATTTCAAACAGCAGCTGCTATCCATGGAGGAAAAAAACTTTTTTGGACACATCCCTGGCATAATTTGGTTAAGTCCTGAGATCACTCTTGGGAATTCAATTAAAAAAACTCTATGATTCATCTTATGATTAGACAATTACAATAAGAAATAAAAAGTTGTACTAGTCATTGTATTCACACAATTGATCACAGGAAACATCAAATTTCAGTCTCTTATTGAAGGTTCATGTTCATTTTTAGCTTTGCGGGCAGGGCACCAGTGGAGTCTGCGTGTTGGTGGATCCATAGAGAAATGGAAGAGTGATTCTTCTGCACTGTTATTGGCTTATGTGTGCGTGGCTCTGGTCTCCTACTTCCTCAGAAGATACTTTATTTATGTTTCTGGAATGTTAGCTATTCTGCCTTTATTCACATCCAGAGCCACTTTACAGTGTGATGTGACACTGGGCTGAGCTATATCGTTGACTCTCTGAAGTCTCTTTTAATATGAGGTTGTATGACTTTGGTCAGAATTATCACCAGAGAGGTGATAACCTCGCAATCAACAACTGGGTAAGTTATCCTTAAACAGACAAACACACAAAAACAATTATTTCACCATGTAAAATGTAGTAACATTCTAAACTGTGATTATTCTGAGAAGAAAAAAGCATGGTGACCATGTGGCCATTAGTCTGTGTATATGAAAGGGCCAGAACTTACACAATTCAAACCAACTAAGAATTTCCCAGGGCTACTTTGCTGGAGATGAGTGTCTCCATGTGATGAATTGCTCCAGGGGGAAGGCGCCCCTGGTGGTAGGGACTGGCTAGCCTTTGGTGGCATGGGCTGATCCCAGCAGACATTAATATAGGTGAGTTTTGACGAGAGGTGTAGCAAAGTGATTGAGACTGCCTGGATATGAAATGTGGGCCCACTGCCCGTTAGATATATGACTTGGACACATTTGTGCCTCAGATTTCTCACCCATTGTCCATAAAATAGGAACAATAATATCACTAACCTTATAGAGATGTTGAAATAATTAAATATATTAATACATATTAAGCATTAGAAAAATGCCTGGCACACAATAAGTGCTCAGAAATGTTATACTTACTATTAATGATAATTAGATCAAACTGTCTATCTAATAGCAAGGTTGAAGAGGGAGCAAACCATAAAATTATATCAATTTCTCGGCCGTCATGAAAACTGCAACATAAGTGCAATGGAAAAATCATTGATTTAGAAATTACTTCCAGCTGTGCTACCCTGGACTCATTACCTTACCTCCCTAAGATCCAATTTCTTATCTGTAAAATGAAGTAGTAACATCCACCTCACAGGGCTTTTATGAGGATTAAATAACATCATATTGGGAAACATTGTGCCTAATACAGACTCATGGTCAATCTACGTCACTTCCCTTCCCTCCCCCAGCCAAATTGGGTAAGCTGAGAAAGAACGCAATGCTTTTGAGTCAGAGCTATCAGAACAACAGGGAGATCAGTTGTCATTCCAGTGGACGCTCACTGAGCATCTACAGTGTGCGGGGACGGGCCCTGCTGCTCCAGAGCTCGCGCCCTGCGGAAAGCTGAGCCTTGGCGGACCGAGACCCTCATTCTCATATTCAAGAGGGTACAGATGGGAGCATTGGTGCTTATTTCATGGAAGAGAAGGCTCAAGGAAATTTTTGTTTGAGAAGGAAGTTGCCTTTGGATTCTTCTCTCTCCTTGAATTGGTCTGCCAAGCCAATTGGGCTGCCAGCACGCCGCAGCCCCTGAGCTGGTGCTTCACTCTCCACGGAAAAAAGGGAAGTCTAAGGGAACGTCATGTCACTGTTTGGCTACTTTCACTGTCCCATCTGTCTTCATGGCTCAAGATCTTCAGTTGCAGTTCTGGAATTCTCTGGAACTTGGGGCCAATATTAGTTCTCAGTAAGAGCGTCTTGGCTAACTTAGCAGAAATTTGAAAAGGTGGCTGCATGCCATTGTGCTTTGTGGAGCTCAGAATCATGAAGTCCATCCCTTGGGAGCTTAACATTTTACCTCATCAAAGCTACCTTAACCAAATGAAGAGTTTATAAGAAAAAAACTGTAATCTCTAGAAGGGAGGCATGTGGTGGAGTGGAAGAAGTATGAGCTTAGAACTGGACAGGCCTGGAATCAGGGAAGGAAAGTGGTTATTTCTGGAATCAGAAATACCTTGGTTCTATCATCTCACTAGTTGATGTTACTGAACCATTGTGTGCCTTCGTTTCTCAATCTGCAACATGGGGGACAATAGCTTTAAAAACTTTATAAGCTTGAGTCTAATTCAGGTTAACCTGAAAATGTTCTGGGGGAGAGTAAGAAGGTGCTGTTCCAAGGTCACACTGGCTGTGACAAGTGGGGAGACTGCCACAGGTAGGAAAATGGCAAGAAAAATATGCCATGTATGCACACTGTGTTCTTTCCTTTGAGCTGGGGAAAGAAGGGAGATGAGGGAAAAAAACATTAATTGAGTATTTGACTGCCAGCCACTTTCCACACATTATTTACTTAAATCTTCACAAAATCCTTAAGAGGTAGTAGCTTACATGATCTATAGTTTGCAGATGAGGAAACAAATGGAGACTCCAAAATTTATAGCCAGTAAATGACAGACCTAAAACTCAAACTCCATCTAGCTTATTTCTAAACTCCATTCTCTTCCCACTCTTCAAAAGATGAACAAGACCTTCAAAGACAAAAAAGTCTTTTTTCTAAGGAGAGAACACTGTCATTATGTAGGCACCATGGCTTTCATAATTGCAGACTCTGCTGTGCAAATGGAGCTTTCTTCCTTATATTTGAATTTACCTTAACTCAGATTCCACCAATAGGAAAAATTTTAATCTTACCTATATAAGGTAAACACAGTCACTTCTATTTTTCTCCCTCAATTTTTGGGGATAAATATTCAGCCAGTTTGAGATTTTTTCCTCCTCTTCCTTAACCTAGAGGTGGCCTACATTCCAAGAACTTGAATAATTTTCCTATATTTGTGTGTGGCAGTTCTCTGGTCTTACCTTTGCTGTGGGAAAATTCATACACCTCTATACTCACTGCTCCTGTGCTAATTGTCATAGTCCCATCATGGTCCAAGCCCCACCCTACCATGGTGATGAGAGATCTCCTTCATGACTCTCATGTAAATGTCCTTTTCTCATTAGACTTTCCAACACATTGCAATTTTTCAGAACAATATTGGATTCATCACCTAAGATAGTTGATAATTGGGCGTATAAACTGTCAGCCCTGAAGTTGTGACTCTGGGCTTTACCTAAAAACCAGAGAACTCTCCATATGCCTACTTTGAAACGTCATTTTACTCTCCTAGCACACTTAATGGAGAGCATTTGGATTCTCCTGGTGTCGCTCCACCCCAGGGTCTTGAAGTCAAGGACTTTGAGTGTTCAGCATGCAGCTCCGTGCCTGGTAGACGGTGGGCGCTCACAAACGTCTACTTTAAAACAATGTAATAGGAATTCATAAACACTGAAAAGATACTTAAACACCAAAGACAGGTCTTCCAGGCTGAAGACAAGGAAGTGATATCCACGGTTCTTCCTTGAAGATCTTTTTTGTCCTTAGCCCATCTCAAATGAGAATATATAGGGCCTTAGCCGAGGAAGGAAGTTAAGGTCACACGGGCGGTTAACGGGGCACGAGCAGGGAGACAGGTACGGGCACTAGCGTGCGCCAGGCCTGACGCAGCCCGTCCGCGCCGGCTCTGCGAGGGAGGCTTTGCCGGCGCTCGTCGTCACGATGAGAGAAATATGGCAGAGAACTTTTTATTCTCTTTTAGTCCAGACAAAACGGTTTTGGACTTCTTTTCAAATTCCTTTTACTAAAACTCAAGGGAAAACATAATGGCAAACTATTTCACTTACATAAGGATATAAATTTTCCAGAACGTAGGTGTCGAATCCAAATTTGGATGAGATCTAGCTACGAGCTGGCTTTAATATGAATATTTCCAAGCTACTGCACTTTGAAACAAACTCACCGAATCCTGTAGCCAAAGGGTTAATTCTGGCTGTTTGTTTTCTGGAGAAGCGTGACTGGTAAGAAAGGGTGGCAGAGAGTAGCGTGGGCAGCTATGCCGAAACATTAAGCAAGGGCCAGGCAGAAATTCCAGGAAAAAGGAGAAAGGGATAATAATTGTTAGTTCCCTATTAAGTATAGCATCTAAACACATTGACTGTCACACTAGAAAAAAAATTGCCATGGGGCTACAGTGTTTTATTAAAACAAATGATCCTTTCTAATTTGTTGTTTTTTGTTTTCTGTGCATGAGTTATATGCAATGCAATCCATGTTTTTAGAATTAAATTGTCGATATTAATTGTAACAGTAAGATCATCAACAAGTGAGATTTTCACAAACCAACTGCAGGGTTTTGCTTCTCGAGGCCCCGGACTTAAAACTAGCCCAAGTTAAGTACAACTCACATGGCAGTCAATGTGTTGAATCATGTTATGCTTGCAACTTTATAAGATGGATATTATTATATCCATTTTATAGCTCAGGAAAATACGGCTCAGAGAGTTTAGAAAGCATGTTTGTTTAGTAAGTGACAGAGCCAGGTTTTGTTCCTGAGGTCAGCGTTTAGAGGGTTTGACTTGCTGAGGGGCATAGCCAAGGCCTGGACCCCAAGCTGGAAGAAC